CGTTTTCGATCTAACAGTGATAATTATTTTAACCAAATGTATTTCAAATCTCAAACAATGGTCACATAGAATAAAAAAGAACACGTTATAAATATAAAAAGAAAAGTTCTCTGGATACACGTCATATAACAAGGATGATCGGATGCAGTGGTTTACGATAAAAGTCCTAAGTAAATTGATCTTGGATATTTTGTCTTCAATTCTGGCCACTGAACAATTACATCTACTAAACGAGTATAGTATAAAATTTTCCCAGATAATGATAAAGTTTTGGTACGACAAATACTTTCAACAAAAATTATAAGAGTTGAATGAAATTTCAGTATCTGTTGATGATAAAAAGAGAAAAGCAGCAAATAATAAAGAATCACATAAGCAAATTGAAGTTTTCTTTAACGATCAGTATATTAAACGTGAGAAAAACTGAAGTGATGTTTGGAATTCTGAGCTTATGGTGGTTCCTTTAATAGATTAGTGTGGATATGACGGTCCATGAGAAGCCTGTCAATACGTCACTACTCTACCAAAAGACAGTGATCATCAAGTTATCAAAGGAAAAAGAAAACGAAAAAAGCAATAACACAAAATAGTATCACTGTATTCTCCAGTTTTTTATCTTAATCTGTGTGCTTTTGGCGTGCTACAATTTTAAGTGATTAAGTATTTCGTGATACTACACTTCTAGATCTGTTTGACAAATACCCTAGTAAAACTATTAGGAAATAAATAACATTTATCATATTTAATAAATGTAATTCCAGATTAAGGATTCTGAACTGCAGTACGGTTATTTAACTGGATTCACTAAATCGGTTTTCAGAATATAACTCAGTGTATATAGTCTGTGAAAATTAGACGGATGGATACAATTAGGTAGCACTTTTGGCTTTTAATAAGGTATGAAAATTCAGACTTCTCAGTTGGATCTTAGTTAATGATCCCACGTATGAATAATTTATTGCTAAGAACTAAAAATTAAAGTGGCATCTCAAAATCTCTTTAACTAAACCTACAATTCTACTGAATATGAACCTTCCATGTAGGCCAAAACTTTTCTGATCAAAAAAGCAGAAAAGATGGGTATCATGCACAACCTACTTAAGTGTTTTTTATCACATAAATTTTACGGGTGAGAATGAAGTCAGTGTACAGATTCGATTTCAAAACCTTTTACTGTAGGATGAAAGTGCAAAAATCAGGGACACAAGAGCGCAGAAGGTCCTCCGCTTACGGACCACATTCTTTGCTAAAAGGATGACATGCCAACATTAAAAGCAATTAAAGTGCACACGAACAGGAAAATTGTACTAGTTAACTGGGTTTTATAGAAAAACTTGGTAGAACCTAAATATTTCTTATTATTTCAAAAGAGTAGAGACTTGTTATTCTTGAATTATTAAGTTTCACACAATAACATCTTGCCAACTGCCTGGGACTATTTTATCATGTGATTAAGCTCCATTATTTCGAATAACCAGACTCGTGACAGTTTATTCACTTATTTAAACACATGAACATTGGTACAAGGAGGTACCAAATATATATGCGCCACATTTCGTTAATCGATTTGTGTGAGGGCTGGAATACTGCACATGTGCCCAAACCGAAGCAGATGGATTTTTATAGGGCCACTCCCTGAGCTGTACACGTGTGTCCACGTGAGAGCATTTCGAGATGGAGAACTGACTCTCCCAACCCTTGGCCGCACCAGAGCATTTGGAGGCAAGTCATAATAGAGCTATGAGGGTTGTTAAAAGCTAGTTATCAAGATGACCAGATATACGTGATACGGGTATTTCTGTACGATACTCAGAGTCATCTACCGTAGTTATCAACACTACAAATCGTTACAGTGGATAACAACGTAGAGATCCAAGAAATAACAAGTGTACGTTATAGACAATCATTAAAGTGGTTCAAAGTTACTTGTAATAGTCAAGCTTTTTTATTTAATATGAAAACACAAAGTAAATGGATGGAAAGTAAGTTCAAGTACTCGATATAATACGACAATCAGAGACATGAAATATGACTTTCATTAAGATGTGTCACAATTATTAACTGATAAAACATTAAATCATTATATTCATCTTACGTGGAGTAAAATAGCCACGAAGCATATGGGGATACATGTCCCAGGACCATTACACAAAATCTACGTGAAATATAGATTGTATTAAGGATTGAGTACATAATTGAGTTGATAATGGTCTTATGAACAATAAAAACATATACAATGGGAAGTACCAGTTTGAAGGGGATGTGCCTAAGTCTATTAAGTTTATAAAGATTATAACAGTATTTAAATCTCAAAATAAATAAATATATCATCAAGAACTGAAACGTCCAGTAGAAAAAAATACAATTTAGCCACATACTTTTTGTTAATCTATGCAGTAATTATCGACATACTGTCATAATAAAGATAAGTGATCGCACTTAGCAACTACAGTTTGTAAGTCATAATCGTGTGAAGTTAAATTTGGTCCAGATTACGAATGATTTTTTATTTAATCAACTAGTAACTATTTAATCATAGCAGTTAGCTTAAAGTAACGGTCCAATTCACTTTTGTGATGATCCACTTGACTGAGTTGGCTGAAAAATTCGTTCCTAGAGGTCTTCGTACACCAGAATCAGTAAACAAAGGGCAGAATAGTATGAAAGAACTAATAAAAAAATTTCATGACAGTGACCTATATCTGATTGTACCTATTAACTGATATCAACAGTATAAAATCGAAAAATGGATTACTTATTACTCATTGATGAATGCACGCAAGATTTTCCATGGTAATATGGCTTCCCTGTAAATCTGATATATAGGTTGCCAGCAATCGATCACATCTATCTTTAAGTTATTGCTCGATTATGGTGAGACAGCAGAGCAAGGTGGCCGAGATACGTTAAGCACACTCAAAAATCCAATTACATTATTCATTCTTGTCTTCTTAATAAGCCGGATACAATGGTATTTTTTACTAAACGAATAAAATGGATTACTTATTACTCATTGATGAATGCACGCAAGATTTTCCATGGTAATATGGCTTCCCTGTAAATCTGATATATAGGTTGCCAGCAATCGATCACATCTATCTTTAAGTTATTGCTCGATTATGGTGAGACAGCAGAGCAAGGTGGCCGAGATACGTTAAGCACACTCAAAAATCCAATTACATTATTCATTCTTGTCTTCTTAATAAGCCGGATACAATGGTATTTTTTACTAAACGAATAAAATGGATTACTTATTACTCATTGATGAATGCACGCAAGATTTTCCATGGTAATATGGCTTCCCTGTAAATCTGATATATAGGTTGCCAGTAATCGATCACATCTATCTTTAAGTTATTGCTCGATTATGGTGAGACAGCAGAGCAAGGTGGCCGAGATACGTTAAGCACACTCAAAAATCCAATTACATTATTCATTCTTGTCTTCTTAATAAGCCGGATACAATGGTATTTTTTACTAAACGAATAAAATGTAGAAGACTAAGTGTCAAACGTTGCCAAAGAAACATTTAGTAGTCAAAGTTTTTTTAACTTACTACAGGAGACATAACAGAGTTTCTTTATTTGAGCTGAGAACAATATTGAGTTAGTAAAAAAGACTCCACATAGTGTTGACTGGAATATTAATACTGGAGAATGCCGTCAATAAAATTACGATGATAAACATTTACATCTAATTACTGAAAACTTATGAAGAGGAATAAAACTATCAAAACTGTTAAAGGTAGAAGAGATGTGACAGTCTACATACTTTGAGCTTTTAAACAATTTATGTCAACCCTAAACTTCAAAAGAGTTCACGACTCCCCCTGGATTATAAGTAAGCAGTCTTAGTCACTTACAGCACAAAACTGCTTTTAATCCTATAAAAATACCCCAGAATAAAGTAGCAATCAGGTGTCAACTAAAAGTCCCAACAAAAATTTATCCTTCATAGAAAACCAATAACTTTATCGGGTGTTTATACTTGTCTTTCCGGAGTTTCTGTGTGTTGAATTGGAAACACGGTCAAACCATTTCATGAGCACCATCATATTTAAGGTGAAGCAATTAATGAATGGTGTTTATAAAATAGGCATTCCACAAAAAGCCGTAAATTTGCGAGGTATAAAGTAAACATATGTGGCGTTAAGTATAATAATACACTTTAAGCAATAATTAAAGGCGCTTTTCGGTAAAAGCACACTAATTTACGTTAAACATGGTAAGCATTGCAGCTACTCGTGGCAAATCAATGATCTAGGAACTTGAAAAGTACATGCCTTCGATCCTTTCCTCCAACAAATAGTTATGCCAATGAATACGCTACTCCAGTGGTAAGAAGGATCTAGCCCTAGAACTCTGTTAAAATACTAGTTTACATCGACCATAATGTTAATAAAGGTTTCCGTAACTCACCAATTTCGCCCTAAAAGTGGTGACGATGGGGAACGCAGATAGACAAGACACTAAGGTACTGAAGATGCTGCTAGCGTACGACTGTTTCACTTCTCGAGCCCTTGGTATGCGCTTTATGCTGAACTAAAGATTTGTAATACAAAACTGAGACTAACTTTAATATCACACTTGTCCTCTAAATCCAAAACCTTTTGTTCACTCATAGAGTCAGTCGTCGCGATAACGTATAAACGTGGTTGATACTTACAAGTCAATACAGAAGTATATGAGAGCATTTCAGCAGTGTGTCCACCTAACATAAAGTATGAAATAAACATTACCAGATCCTAAGACAATCATAACCCTAGTCATCGCTGGATCATCGCACTTGGCTTTGATATAGAAATACGCATACGCAGTCACCCACAAAATCGGTATTATCCAAAAAATCTGTGCTGATAGTTAACCGGCCAAAATGATATACCATTTCTCATAGCTAAATACGCTTCAGGGGTATCGTCCACTGATGGAGGTTGCGAGCACTTGAAGGTCAAACTGTTTCAACATGATTGGTGCGTGACATCGACAACTCGTGAAGTTTTTCAGAGGCGGTCAAATCAAGGCATTTTTAGATTTGAATTGAGTTCAACCACACCATGTCTGATAACGTTCATCCTTCAAGTAACGAAGATGATGCCATCGTTATGATGCATGATATAGGACCAATCTTCAATGATATCATGTTATCTCGGAGATTTACAAGTTGGGACAATTTTGAGACCTGTTTGAAAGAAGTACATAAGGTAATATGACTTCTGTGGTTAATGATTATTTTTGTAGTATACGCATACTAGGTACGTTATGTCAGTATGCAAAAAGAACAATGATGACCCAAATCTAAAGTATCTTTTCGTGAGATATGTTTGTACATATGGACGTAAACGCAGTTCGTCAGAGTCAGATGCTTGCGTTCAGGATGTAGGTGATGATAGTGATCATCATTCTTCCGAAGAGCACACAACTTCTAACTCACCCCCACAACCTAGACAAAGAAGACGACGTCGGTCATCTACGTATGCTTTGCTTCAAATTAATTTATCCTTCAGGTCGAAATATTGTCATTGTCAATCTGGATTTTGGGTCCGTGCAGTAAATGGTGAGCTGAAAGTCACCTCTATCAAGACCGTGCACAACCATCCTTGCACAGAAGGATATATTTCTGTAGATCCTTCAAGAAGAAAGTTGACGTCAAGTGAACGTCTATATTTAAGAACTTTTCTAATGAGTAATACGCCGACTCGTAGTTTACGGCATCTGGTTTCTTGGAAGTTCCATAAACAGCTTACCAAGGATGATATCTGTAAAATGCGTTCACAGTTGTACCCAGGTTGTTGAACTCACATTGTAATTAATTGAGATTAGACACCAAAAATATCAATAACATTTTACAGCGCGTTCAAGCAAACACTGAAGTTAAAGTACTCAGTGAACATGGAAACATATCTATGATTTGCTTCAGTCGCAGGGAGCAGGTATCTATTTACCACGCGTTCCCAGAGGTGGTATGTATTGACTCGACTTATCAGACCAACAAAGTTGGGTAAGTAACGAATAGCAATTAATTCATCTTACAGTTTTCCACTGTTCCAGCTAGTGGTGACTGATAGTCTTGGGCAAGGGCACACTGTTATGTATGCTCTTTGCAGGCAAGAACGACGAGAAGATGTCGTAAAATTATTGGAATGCTTCAAAGATATAATGTGCTGTACTTATGATACACGCACTTTTGTTATGGATTCGGCAGCAACCGAAATTTCAGCAGTGCAGTCTACGCACAATCATGCCGACATAGTACTTTGTTCATTCCATGTCTTAAGAGCATTTTTCAGGAAGGTAAGTGTTAGCTGTACAAACTATTTTCTGTAGTTCCGAAATCCTGATGTACGTAAATGCTTGGAACACCTTGTAAAGACTAGACGGTCTGATATGTGAGCTTCGTTCTTCGTAACCTACGTTTGCGTCCATATGACGCTGTGAAGGATCTTCAACGTTTTCCAATTCTTGAGGTAAGAAATATAGTTAAATGTTTCATTAGTTCCAGGTTCCTATGTCATTTCGAACTCTTTTAAATGAGTTCACATCTTTTGCAGCTAAAATTGTAGCTGTAAATTATAAACGTGTTAGGTCAATGAGACACGAATGTATAGCAGGGGAATACATCCGGTGCTACGACAAGGGTATGATGTATGTTGTTGATACTTCACGTGCACGATGTGCTTGTGAGCGTTTCAATGACTACATGCTGCCCTGTGGTCATATTCTGTATGCACATTCTAAAGGTTTAATAAGTGGAGTTAATTGTGTGTTCCTTTGTCTCTATAAGCATTGTAGACTTATTTCGACATAGTAGCCGGTAGACAAGGAAATACATAATGGACTTGGTTCTTCGTGCGCTTGACAACATGTCAATCTCTACCGGGAGTGATGATCTGCTAGAGAAGTTCACTAATAACTACCACTCAATCTATGCTCTTAGTGAACCCTTGGCAAGTAAACTCATCCGTTCATGCTTCGAAGCATCGGAAGAAATATGCGCACAAGTGATGAGTTCAATCGGTGCTAATGATGAAGCCACATAGTCAGAATCCATTGTTAACACTGACCATAGCTATGCTTCTTGATGACAAGAAGTTCTAATATTGTAATGTTTTTAGTTTCACATAAATTTATTTATATGGGCATTAACTCATTCTTATAGCGTTACGGTAGGGAGAGTGTACTGTGAAGTCTTATGTCGCTGTGAGAAAGGGATGTTGTTTCGCGTTCTTGTGTAATAATTACCAGTTTAGCGCACACGCGATTAGTTATACGCACTGTTTACCAAACACTGCAACTTTGAACATGATTGACTATACTACTGGGTCGAATTTCGACTTGTCACGATAGGTAAGCATTGCCGTAATTAAAACACTGATGTGTTATAAATGAGAACGTTTATTAAAGTTTAAATCCAACGAAAATGATCCATTAATGAATAACTTCCAGTTCTTAAGAATTGTTCCAATTAGGTATGTGAACACTTGCGAAGCCAGCTGGAAATAAGATAGACAGGAAATAAGTATTGCAGTATAAATGTTTACCCAAAACTAATATAAAAAGAGAAACCGGCATTCAATTACAAATCGAGAGTGCGTTTGGCACATCACGCTTATTTGCATTATATATATATAAAGACTGCTATGTGAACTTACATTGAATCGTCCTGTATAATCTGCAATTATTGGTGCCTTTTTTATTTTAGTCTCACGCAAGGTATAATTAATTGTCATTTACGGCATCAACATATAAGTTAGCCAGGCCTTCGGTAATTTTCGAAGATCATTATATACGATCTCACACAATCTGGTCACCTGAGATCAAGATATCTTGATTACCCAATCGTACTTATTTCTGCTATTGGCCATCTTTGCAAGAATACCGGCAGCCTGAACATTGGAACTCTGTTCAAGAGATAATATACTACCTATGAGCTAATTAACTTTATAAAAGTATCTTAGCTTAGTCTCTGGTAAAATCTCCACATAATTGTACCTCTTTCGCAGAATGATGATGTATTTCCTGCAATATAATGATTTTGTGTCTTATATTTCTAACTGTAGAAGGCGATATTAATATATTGGTATGTAATACAACCATCTACAGCATATACATAATATTTACAACCCTAAGGACAGTTAATATTTTAACTATTAGACTATGTCTGCCACAAACGTCGCACAAAACAGTGAAAATCAGCCAAAATTGTAATATAGAAGGGAAAAACGATAAATGTTATCATGGTATCGTTAGTTGTAACACAGTTTTGGTAGCCTTGACGACAATACAATTTTTATGACAATATATGCTTAGATAATATCATTTCATATAAAAATAAACGATTTCTCTGCTCTTTTTGTATAGTTAAGTAGAAATAATCGCCAATCTGCGATGCAAATATGAAAAAACTATTATAGCAGCACCTGATTAATGAATTTTCAAGGACTTCGCGATACCATGTAACGCAAAATGGAAAAACCCCTTTTCACTTAATTATGAAGACGGAAAATGATTTTTCAAATTTAATTATAATAAATTTCAAATTTTGGCTGTGCACAAAGCAGAAATGAAGAAGTAGCGCAAAAAAGTGTCGCGATACCCCTGGAGCGCTGCCTAAATACGCTTGACCTTCTTATTTAATTTTTAGCGCTTTAAAATTGCGTACAAAGACAATAGTAAAATGGTTCAAAATGGTTCACGATGGAATATTAGAAACCTTCGCTCAACGGGCTTCCATCTCTAGTTGTACTGGATTGCCAATGCCTTTATATGGGAACCCAGGTATAATTAACGATAAAAAGCGACATGTTTGTAAAGTATGGTGAGATACTCATCCAACTCCTTCGGAACATGTCAAGTTTGTTCTTAAAGGACTCTTGAGAAATCGCTTGAACTATCTCAGCCGGTAGAGACTTCTTAGAAGGTGAAAGGTGTGCCTGCGGTCCGTTCTGCTATATTGTTTCTTTACTTTCTGAGGGTTACCCCTAATGTTTATGTTACCTTTAAGGCGATTATACACTAATGGGAAAAATTTCGGTGTTTTGAAACGCTCTTCAAAAGGCTTAAATTTGAGTCTCCGAGATGAATTCGTGACTTGCCGTTAGATAAGTCCCAACATGTCCTTATTCTTTTGGAGTGAGGGGGTAACCACTATGTTTACATACTCTAAACGGAGTGGAATAAAACTGTTGAAAACTAAGTGTAGAGTTCTACCGTCGAACTTTCCAAAAATGCGCATCAATTTTGCCAGTGCGAGGTCTGCTTGGAAGCCTTTTACGTCGCAGTTAGCATAAGACTTCAGATCATAGGATACCAACACTCCGAGATCTTCAACTTCAGATATCTCAAGATGGAAGTGGCCTAAGTTGTATCTGTAGTCTGCAACATGTTTCAGATGTGCTATTTTACACTTTGAAGAGTTGAAAGTCAGCCCCTTATTATCCGCCTAACTTTAAAAGCGAGTCAGATCTTCTTGAAATACTGACTCATCATCTTGATCCCAAACTTCTTCAAAGCTTTACATTGTCCTTGCTGAAGAACGTCGTCTACATAAATCAAGAAAAGTCCCAGTACTTAACTCTAAGGGATTCCCTAAAACATTCTACAGCCTGATAAAAAGCGGTTTTTAGCCTGACCTCAAAACGTCGATTATTCAGATACAAAGCAAGTCAGTTAATTAACAGTTGCCTGATGTTCAATCATCTAGCTTCTTGATAAGGCATATACGTTTGACCCTATCAGAAGCTTTTGAAAAGTTAAGGTACATGACATACCCTTGCGATCAAGGGTGGATGTCCATCTGTCCATCGCGGTTAGGAGGTTGTTTATAGAAGAGTAACCTTTCCTTAAACCAAGTTGTTGTGGTGAAACGTTTGTGGATATTAATTAGTCACACAGACCATCATAAATGAGAACCCCATGACTTTTGAGGACCTTTAGACAAGCGCTACTGTCCGGTATCATGAAGGTTCACTGCGTTGTCCTCCTTTAGAAATTGATGTAATGTGCCTCTCCTCAGCAAATACCAGAAAGCCACACAGGGTGGTTTCACCACAACTGAAGCCTCTTCTCCCAGTACAGCAGAACAAACCATGTACGGGCCAGTAAAAATGTCCTTGTTTAGACGTTTCGTTTTCTGATGCGTCAAGTCAGCTCTCAGGCTCATTTCTGAGAGTTCCGCTGAGTTTCAGGTGAGACCCTCATCGATGTAGTTTGTGTACGACGGTTGAGATGTTCGAAAACACTGTTCTGTTAGAACATCTGTTTGTTTTCACCCGGTAGTGCCTTTCGTGTCTTAGCATTCAAAGAGTGCGATTCTTGATGACTGTACGTTGTTTGTACCTTTGGAGGACCATTTGCTGGACAAACTGTCTTGTAGCACATAATATCGTATGCAGTAAGATTTCCTGATGAGCGTCCACAATGAGTTCAGGATAGACTTCTGTGGGTTGTCCTGTAAAGCTGACGCATCCAACCGTTTGAAATTCAAAAACCCGTTAGCAGTATGTTTTACCTCATTTCTGCTGATGGATTTTCTGTTCCCGTGTTCCTAAATTAGCTTTATGTTAATTGACAGGCAATCTACCTGCGCAGGGTTTTCATAGTCTGTAGTCCTTATCCCTTCTACGTTTTTTCACTTGTTCACGACAGTCCGCAAGTAGGAAAGCCAGTTCTAGTTCGCCTTCGTGCCTACACCTTGCATCATATGGCCTGTCTGGATGCAGTTAGGTTCTAGTTGGTAACCAGCGTACGTTGGCACAAAATGCTTCGGAAGTGGGAGGACGGGAATATTGCACCCACTAGCCGACGTCTAGTATCCCCGTCCTTCTCAGATAATCGCATCGCTTGTTAGGACGATATGTTCTTCAGCTTTAAGAACTGCTTTGTGAAGTTCTGCTGTAGATGATCATAATCTGTGTAATCATGGTCTACGTTTTATGGGACACATTGGAAAATGATATTTCATCCGCGGAAGAAAGTCTCTCAAGATTTTGGAGGTGTTCTTGATGATACTAGTCTCAGAATATATTGCAGGCAATATCCTCATACCCACCTCTGATTTCAGAAAGTGACTTGTCAGCAGAACATATTCTATATCAGCAGCGTCAGTATACGTCACACGAATGAGTCCTGAATTGTAACGACCGAAATCTCAGCATTCGGTCTGAACGCAATACTAACGAACCGAAGTTTATTAGATTGGGCCAAACTGTGTACTTCTGAGTAGTGCATAAAGCGTTCTAAAAATCTTCTATTAAATTACTTCAGAACGCACTATGTGCCTTATTTGAAGCGTTATAATTTAAGAAAGAAAGCAAATTATATCGAAGACACACAACACCTCGAACAGTAAAGCCTGTGCTATACAGCCAAAGGTTTCTCTAGCAAATTG